GTACTGACCCCACAACAGCCAGCCCCGCCCCAGCCCACCTACCTGCTCCCGCCCGGGTCCCCTCCCGCTGGAGGCAGCACTCCCTGAAGTAGCAGTAGAGGCGCGGGTAGGAGATGAAGCCGGTGAGCGCTGAGGCGGCAGCCCCGCACAGCGCCAGTCCCAGGCTGATGGGCTCCACCGTCTGCACCGGGCTCAGCAGCAGCGCAAGGCCCAGAACAGCCCCCAGCGCCCCCCGCAGCAGCTTCATGCCCCCTCCGCCAGGCCCCAGCCCGGCCTGTCAGCCGCCACCCTCACCCCGCACAGCCACTTCCGCTTCCGGACTAGTCGCTTCCGGCACCACCATCTTGGTTGAGGGCAGAGGCGTTGGCCAGGGTTGAGGTTGGTGGCGGGCGGCCATGTTGGAAACAGGCCGTCACTGTCACGTGACCGAAAGGGCCCGCCCTCTCCCGCGAGATCGCTACTCAGTCGGTGACAGGTTAGCTAGGCAATGACTCAGTATCGCCATCATGACGTAGCATCCTGCTCCACGTGCCGTAAGACCGTCGGCGGAGCAGGTCGTGACGTAGCTTCCGCGTGCGTGTCTCGACGTGGCCTCGGTGCCCACCCTGCGGCCCTGCAAGCAACCTCCGTCTCCCTGTGGCCGGGTTAGATCACACACCCCAGCTCCCTCTACTCGTTTCCAGACGGGTGCAGATTTCTTCCATCTATGTGCAGGACAAAATATTGTAGGTGCAGGGGTGCATGTGCAAAAGAGCACCGCTACTAGCAACACACAACCCATGTGCACTCTGCTAACCCCCAGCAGCCAGTTTACAAGGAACACTGTTGGAAGGAAGCCTTCTAACACCTATTGGAAAGAGCAATTAATAAATAACGGTTTTGTTCTGACTCCTTTGAGTCACTAGTGCCTGCTGAAAGCTCTTTTAAATCTTCCCTTGCTAAAAAAAACAAACAATACTGGCACAGTGGTTAGGGGCCACTGTCTCACAAAAAAACAAACACCTCACTGAAGTGGCCCCTCTCTAAGGAGACACTCCCCACATTTCCCTTTCACACCAGGGCTGGGGGGGTTGGGAGGGGAAGGAGTCCAGGCTAGTAGATTGTGCACTCCAGCTCCATGGAGTGTCAGCACTGCTAAAGGTGGGAGGGGGCAAAGAGTCCCAAAGCCTGGGGGCTGGATTCAGGCAAGCCAGGGGCTGCATTCAGCCCCTGGGCCTTAGGTTTCCCAGCCCTGTTCAAAATACTAGCTAGATGATGTAGCATTGTCATCTCCATTTACTATCAGCATTTATTTATTTTTTTTTAATATATAAACAGAGCACTTAAGATACTGTTTAGTATTTATGGCTAAACATTTTTTTTTTAATTGTGTGCTTAGCCATAATATTTCACTGTTCTAACAAAACTATTAGATGAAAGATCACATGGTCACAAAACTTTCAAGCCCAGGGACCGAAACTCAATCATTTCCCCCATTTTACAGATGACATTAAGCAGAGATGCACAGAGGCATTAAACAATATGTTCCAGATCACAGTCTGTCAGTGACAGAATCATGAAACTGCACAGTGAGGCTACATCTATACTGTAATGCTATTTCAGGATAGCAGAGTATCCCGAAATAGCTATCCTGCATCTTAAGAGGCTTGCTCTGCTGATGTCCCAGTAAACTTCATTCCACGAGGATGTTTCAAAATAGCAGTTTATTTTGAAATTTGGTGAGGTGTAGACGTAGCCTGAGTAGCAGCCCTCAGCAGTGAATCTCAGTCTGCCAACCAAAACTCTTGTTTGTGGGCTTGTGCTATAGTGCTAAAAATAGTACAGATGTTATAGCCCAAGCTCCACCCTCAGCCAAGATCCAGCCTGAGCAAGCATCTACACAGCTATTTTTAGTGCAATAGCAGAAGCCCAAGTCATCCAGGATCTAAGACTCCCTCATATGAGCTCCCTCATATGAGCTATGTAATCTATCCCTTAGTCAGATGTTTGAAGTGCCAGACAATATTACCTCAACTATTTTCATAAGCTAGCCTTTTTGATTTGTAGCATAGATTTTACATTTTTGTTTCATGTTAATTTTATTTGAAAGGTGTCAGTCCAACAGTACTAAGGACAGAAATTCTTAAAACAGACGGCACTCCACTCTCAATGCCTTGTTCACACATTGCCTTTTTACACTGATATTGTCAATAATCATGCTAGCTGTGGGTGAGGGTATTTTCCGTGATATGAGCACTCCTTACTAACAACTGGACCCAGAAAAAAAAAAAACTTAGCTGTTGACTTGGTTCAAATATCAGCTAGGAACAATGCTCAGAAAATACTTTGGTTGACACCTCCATGAAGATTGAGCAGATAAATGTCTATATGCTAGTATCAAACTCCTGACCCTACCACTACCTTTAATATTGTAGACAAGCATACAAACCAGCCATTTTAATTTTCATTGTTGTACATTTCACTCAGATTGATTGACATGATACAGAAGATTTATGAAAGCATTCAACAATGTTGGTTACTAAAGCACTGGATGTGAGCTGACATGTTCCCAAGTCTCACGACAACAGCTGCTGATCCTTGTTTTAATTCAATAATTTAATCAATTTCATACAATCATGTTCCCAAGTCTCACGACAACGGCTGCTGATCCTTGTTCTAATTCAATAATTTAATCAATTTCATACAAACTTAGACTTGTTTAGGCTAATATTTAAGTACATACAAGCAGCACAGGATGAATCTAGTGTGCCCATTACTGAAATAACAGAATTGCAAGAATGACAGGTTAAAAATGTTATTTATTTTTTGAAAGTTCAAACTCCATTTCTCATCTTAATTTATATTAATTTCTGGAAATATGGTGTTTTAACATCTGAGGGTTTTTTTTTTTTTTTGAGATAGGGATAATGTAGGATTTCATATCAGAAAGCCAAACAAAAATTGAAAACAATCTACTGATTTCTCTCCTCCTTGGCAACTGAAATAAAACACTCATTGCTATGGAAACACAAACACACACAGGGGACAATTTAAAAATCTCAAAAACATTCACAATTCAGGCACCTACAGCAACTGCTGTATTTCCTTATACTGAAGATAAGAAATCCTGCCAAATTGCAATCCCTGCAGAGTAGCATGTGTTCAAGATCTTACATGGTACCCACTCTAACGGGAAAAGAAGCTGACTCCTGCTGTGTGCTTAACAAATTCCTGCAGTATCTTAGACCCACACACTGCATACAATTTAAGCCCTTTGGAACTATCAAGAAGAACCTTCTTATGAAATTGCTTTGGAAGTTTGACCTGGAAAACCAGCTTTAAACCTGTACTCCTTGTTTACGGGCTAAAAACATTTCAGTCTTTAAAAGATCTTTTTCAAGGTGGAAAAAAAAAAAAATCTATGAACAAGGTTGACATTATGCTAAAATAAATGTCAAGCAGGAAGCCAACATATTTACAAAGGAAAGTTTATAACAAAATAAGTTATACACAAGTCACCACAGAGAAGGATGATTTCACAATCACCATGCAACTAATTCACTACAAGTTTACTGTGAGAAAAATCTTATGGGTAACATTAAAAAAATGGATACGAAGCCATCCCACAGAGTTATTTACACAACACCTTTCACTTAAAAGCTCCAGCAAAATGTTCAGCCCATACTGAAGAGATTTCAATAGCGTCTGTTCATCTTCTTGAATTTCTCATAGTGGTAATCATCTGTTGCTTTCTCATTGGGTGGACGCTTGCGATTTGGAGGAGACCCTTCAAAGGAGAGAGAGAGGGAGAGAGAGAGGGAGAGAGACACATACACACACTTTATTTCCTATTCTTTAATAAATAGGATAGCGCAGGAAAAATTATCCTCATTCACTTCCCAAAGATTTAGTCTAATGCCCTTTAAACCAGCTGGCCTGCAAGCACTCTTACTATTTTACACTCTTGCCTTCAACAATGCCAAAATTCTTCAGACTTCATTCTTCCAAATCCTACTCACTCTCCCCCAATCCATTCCAAAACAGTTTTGCCCAAAACACTTAAAAACCGTACCATTTACATTCCCCCATTACTCCAGCCTTTGTGGAGCAGAGACTGTTAGCTCTCCATACCATGGCTGACTACACACCATTACTAAGGAGTCAATGGGTTATTTTCAACATCCTGACCCTTCACCTATAACAGGAGATAAGTCATAAAGCAACATGGATGGAAGATGTATCTATTAGGGAGCACATCAAGAATTGCATTTCATCACTTTTCCTTTGAAAATCAAAGGCAAATCACTCTACAAGTCTTTCCCACCAGCTCAGGACACCATGCCTTATAGCAGGGGTGGGCAATCATATTTGATGGGAAGGGGTACTCCAAGGCTGTGTCTAAACTACATCCCTTTTTTGATAAGGGGATGCAGATTAGGCACATCGATATTGCAAATGAAGCCGGGATTTAAATATCCCGCGCGTCATTTGCATAATGGCAGCTGCCGCTTTTTTCCAAAACAGGGCTTTTTCAAAAGAAAAAAAAAAACAAAACAAAAAACGGACAGTTTCATTTCGAAAGATCCTGTACTCCTCAAAAAATGAGGAGTACAGCATCTTTCAAAATGGGGCATTTCTGTTGAAAATGCCCCATCTAAACTGCTGTGGTTTCTTCCCCCTGTCCCTCCTGAAAGAGCCCCATTTCAGAAAAAAGCAGCAGTCGCCATTATGCAAATGAAACACGGGATATTTACATCCTGCACTTCATTTGCAATATCGACGTGCCTAATCTACATCCATTTATCGAAAAAGGGATGCAGTTTAGACACTGCCCAAGAGTTTGGAAAGTGGTCAAGGGCAGTACTTTTCTATGATATTAATGGAGGTGGTGTGGGCTCTGGGACCGAAGCTGGGTACAGGAAGGAGCTCTGGTTGAGGATTGAAGTGCAAGAGGGATGAGAATGGAGTCTGGGAGGGAGTTTGGGTGCAGGAGAGGATTCCGACATGGAGGAGGGATGTAGGAAAGGGGTGCAGGGTCTGGGAGGGTGTTGTGACCAGGGGAGGGGGACAGAGGGTTTGGGTTATGACCTGGGGCAAGGGTGCAGGACAGGGTGCAGAGGGTTTGAGTTGTGACCTGGGGCAGAGAGCAGGGGTGCAGGCTCTGGCTAGGAGGTGCTTACGTTAGTGGCACCTGGCCAGCAGCCCAATGGGACCCTTAGGAAGGCTCTCTGAGCAGCATGTGGGGGCGTGGCAGACAAAGCAGCTGTCTGCTGGGGCCAGCGTGTGCTCTCTGAGTGGTGCACCCCTTGGGGAAAGGCGAAAGTGGGTCTCTGTGGGCTGTACGTGCCTGCATGTACAGCCCAGGCAGTTCACATTGGTTGGAAATCACCTGTTGGGAGCTGCAAGGATTGTGCTGGGGGAAGCACATGGAGACCCTCCCAAGGGGCACGCATTGCACAGATATGTGCACACTGGCCTCAGCAGCCAGCCACTTTGTGTGGCATGTGAGGCTGCAGCAGGCAGGGAGCCTGCCCTAGGGTTCCACTGGGCCGGGAGGACATTGGTGGTGGGCTGGATCTGAATGTATGATGGGCCAAATCTGGCCCACGGGCTGTATTTTGCTCACCCCTGCCTTAGAGGGCTAGAGGAGAAGATTATATCTGTTCATGGATCTTGGATAAGGAAGAATTGATACCTCCAATAAGCTAGCCATGCTTTGTGTTTAGTACTCACGCTCAGGTTCTGGCTTCTCTGTATCCCCCACTCTCAGTGGTCGGGCTTTTGGTTCTTCTTTATTCCTCCTCACTGGTGCACTCAGTTCCTCATGATAGACTGGAAGGAGACACACCAAAGGGTGAAGTTTAGACAGCAGCATTGCTCAGATGTAGAATCACAGAAATGTACAGCTGGAAGGGAGCTCAAGAGGTCATAAGAACATAAGCATGGCCATAACAGGTCAGACCATTTAAGCCAGTATCATGTTTTCCCAACAGTGGCCATTGCCAGGTGCTGCAGAGGGAATAAACAGAACAGGTAATCAAGTGATCCATCCCTGTCACTAATTCCCATTTTCTGGTAAACAGAGACTAAGGACACCATCCCTCACCATCCACGCTAATTGCCACACATGGACTTATCCTCCATGAAATTATCTAGTTCTTTTTTTAACCCTGTTATAGTTAGGGTTGTCAACATGCATATGTTCCAGAGGGGTAGCCAAGTTAGTCTGTAACAGGAAAAGCTTAAAAAACAACAAATAGTCTAGTAGCACTTTTAAGACTAACAAAACATGTAGATGGTATCATGAGCTTTCAGATACTTCTTCAGATACACGATTAACCGATAAGCCTGGTCTTATCAGTTAATCCTGTCGATTACGCGCATTTGCTCACTTCCCGCCCCCCAGCTGCTGCCTCTGTTTCCAAGATACTCACATCGGTTGTGCTGGACGTAGTTCACAGCCATGTTTGTGGGAACAAAGGAAGTTTCACTGTCTTTCTTTTTGTTTTGCTGCTCTGCCAGCAGCCTTGCCTTGGCGTCCTCAGTAAAGATTATGTTTTTTATTTTTGCACTGAAAGGGGAATACAGTGAGGAAGAGAATTGTTTATACACTGCAGACAGAAAGAGGCCTGGGGCCCTATATACCAAAATACACAGTAGAGCAATTTTATCTACGAGTGAGTGAACGGACAGTTACATGTGAGGGGGACAGCAATTGCAGTTGTCTTTGATTTGCAAGCTGTTTGTCAGAGAATGGGGCAATGTGGTAAAGAGGAGTGCTCTAGTCCCAAGGACGGACAGAAACCACACATCCCTGAAGAGCTCATCCTATGGTAGTGCTTGGTGTGAGCCAAGACTACCAGAAGACCCTGCATCACAGATTTTGAGGTAAAATTCCATTTATTTGGTTAATTGGTTAACCAGATGCCCGGAGCACCTCCTGCCTGTGACACATGGTCCCGCTGCAGACAGGGGCAACTCCAGATGCCCAGAGCTGCTCTAGCCCCCACCAGTTAACCAGAACCAGTAAACCACACCCATTAAGGGTGAGGCTTAGTGGCAGTGTTCCCTGTAAGCTGCGCGCATTTGTGCAGCCGAAAGATTCCAATGCTGCCCAGTTGATTAGAAGAGTTTCCACTGGTAGGCTTTATTTCTACTGTTGGTGCACATTCACACTTGCCTTTGTGCACATAAAAATGTATGTTGCACACGGATGGAAAAGATTAGCGGGAACTTTGCTTATTGGTTAACCAGTAAACAGTTCACATCCCTAATCGCAGAGCAGGAGAATGAAAGCCTCTATTGCTCTGAGTATTACCGCAGTGCTTAGTCACTGAGCAGGCCCCTCACAGAACAGAGAGACTGTCAATCCACTTAAAGCATAGGGTGGAGCAGTATAAGTTACCCTTAGCACTTTCCAACTAGTCAGCTCTGCCATAACCTATAGGGATCATCAGGGTAATTCAAATGATAAATAATTGGACATACTCTATTCCCAGGTCCACTTCAGGAATGCAACTCAACATCTGA